ACCCAGTGATCGAAAGAATCTGGTGACTCCCGGTTCTCACTTTTCTTTGCCCTGATTTCACGGAAACGATCCCAATCCGTGAACTGAAATTCCCTTGGAGGTCTGCTTTGTATTTCCATCGAAGTGACGAGAATGTAATGATCACTGTCGAGACTTTCGTTGAGATTGTGCCAGGTTACTGACCCCAAGTTTGCCACGAAGGTTAGGTCCAGGGAAGTGTCCCTGGAGCATGAATTTCCAATTCTAGTAGGAAATGAAGGATCCGTGAGTAGAGTTAAGTTGTAGTCTGAAGCAGCCTGCCAGAGATCTCTACCCTTAGCGTTAGTGTGGTGATATTCCCATTTCTGATGTGGGGCATTGAAGTCCCCGGCAATAATGAGTGGGGCCCCAGCTGCCTTTCCTACCGCCCTGGATATTAGCGATGTGAAGCGCTGTCTCATGTTTCTAGGAGTACTGTAAATGTTCAGGATGGAGAGGCTGTTTTGGAGCTGCCCGCTTGATATAACTTCGACAAACAAGTGCTCAGTCTTACTATGGCTCATGGAAAGATTGTGAACTACGGTGGTAAACTTCGTCGAGACAAGGGAGCAGATACCCCTTGTATCTTGCCCGAATAAGCAGTGGGACCTATAGCCCGATAGGGTAAATGAGTCCGTCAAAGTTTCTTGGAGTAGGACAATCTCCGGCTTTTTAGTATGAGACTGAATGAATTTCTGAAGGACCGCCTTCTTACGTTGGGATACACAACAGTTCCACTGCCAAACTATGATGTTACTATTACTAGTCGGACCTGCCATGATTGCAACTTTAGTTTGATTTGCCTTGCGGCACATTACGTATAGGGGCGTGCTTTCCACCCTTTATAGTGGCCCTAGCTTTGGAGATGCCCGATGAAAATGAAGGACTTGCCACTGTCGAACCTGATGACCCACTATTACTCTTGGATTCGAGTGTTGCAACCCTCATGCTCAAAGTTGAGAACGCTTCGCTAAGGGACTTGAGCGTGTTCCTAAATTTGGCCTGAAATTCTTTCATGTCGTTTTTAAACTCGTTGAAGTCTGATTTAAGATCTTTCAGCCCCTCCTCTCGTAAAGGCTGGGACAGAGCTCTCTTCTTAGCGGGACGTTCGTCTGCAGGTGCCTCAGACGGCATCTCAATGGGCACGTCTGCTGTTCCCGATGGGGGAGGCGACTGCGAGAGCGACGACGCGGTCGCTAATTTTAGTTCAGCTACCTCTGCTTGAAGACGCTCAAAAGCGCTCCTTAGCAAAGCGTTTTTGCATTCGAGTTGTGCAATCCTAGCCGCACCATGCTCTGACAGCGGAGGCACTTCCCTCGTTACCATAGATGGCATTCACTTGACACTGTCGGCCCAGCGAGTATCCCCGGCAGGCGGCGTTTGTAGTCGAACAGCAGATGGGTCCTTAGATCGCGAGCGTGCCCTGGATCTGGAGCGACCACTCTTGGATGATGACCGTGGTGCTGGTTGTCCAGTGCACCCTCTCGACGGCGATCTGCTGCGGCTCCGCAGGTGCTCGGTGCGGTCAGCGCTTGGGACTTGAGGCGTTGACGTTCACGTCTTCGTCGGCGAACTACATATGGTACTTGAAAGCGTTGTCTACATAGCCTGTCTGCTGTAGGGTGAGGCCCTCCACATAGGGCACATTCGGGGGTGCACACATGTTCGTTGGACGGCGACACCTCACTGCAACTTCTGCGAATCGCATCTGGCGTCGGGCACTCGTCGGCCCGATGGCCTAGCCTTTCGCATGCATAGCACACATCGGTTTGTCTACGGTAAAGCGTGCACCGTAACATACTTTGCCCACACATCACGTAATTGGGCACTTTCAAGCCGTTGAAGAGAATGATGACCGTTGTGATGTTTTTTATGCGCTTGACCTCTAGTGCTCTCGGATTTTTTGGTTGAACAATCATGCTGCTCAGTTGCTCGTGATTGAAGTCTAGGTCGACGCCTCTGAGGACCCCCTTACACGTGTTGTCTGGTGCGGCCAAGTACGAGCTGACCTCATAGGTGGCCTTCCCGACTGTGATTGCTTCGACTCTTGAATATGCTCGGGCATTCTTTTCAGCCAATGTACTCACGACGAAAATGTTCTGCGTAGGGTTGGGGCACACAATTTCATCGGCTATCTCGGCCGGGCTGAGTTGCGCTGCCAGCGTCAAAGCATGAGCCGCTTTGATTTGACTAACATTCTTGACGTTCATGCCTCCTCCGGGTCTGACGATGACTCTATAGTGCTCCCTTGGTAGGCGAGGCAGTCTCGATGCAGCGATGAGACGCTTCTTTACGCCGGTGAGTGCACGACCTCCGCCGGAGACGCCACCACGTTGTATCAAACTTACATGCGCGCCTTGCTCGGACGCAACGGGTTGCTTGCGCTTCGAAATGGCTGTTGTCCAGCCAGATTCAAGGCACTCTTCAGGGGTAATGCCCACCCCTTCTACTTCAACTTGCATAGACATGTTTTTCTTCACAGACGCACGGCCGTGCAAGAGGCTGTGCGAGGCGTGGCACGAGAGGCGCGGGATGCGTTTGATGTGGCCTGGCAGAAAAGTTCCAGAAATTCCCCAGTGCAATCACTTACCGTGAAAAGTCTGGTATCTGTGTGATCGGTAGCTCAAACTGCGTCGAAGGACTTGAAGCTCAGCCACAGGGACCAGAAAGTTGCATCCGAAAACATTTATTGAAACAGGAGTCGACGCTCACACAACTGCACTAGTCCACTTGGTAGATCATCGCAAAAAATCAATTTGAGCGCAAACACACGACACATTCATGCATACACACACAGACACAGCTTTGTGCGTCTTTGATGCCTGGTTGTGTGTGTGCATCAATGTGTCGTGTGTTTGCGCTCAAATTATTTTTTTGAAATGTCTACGTGGGGCACGCGAGGCTGACTGAACAGCGCTTCGACCACCATGGCTTGGAATCGAAGAACCCAGCCTCCAAAAAACATATGATAACCACAAGCCCCAGCGTGTGTGGTTGTCTTATTTGTATTCTTGTGTATGTGTTTTCTGAATGCTTTGTTCCTAAATTCCAAGCTATGTACCAACAAGCTAGACACCAGACTTTCCAACCACAATGAGATTCATGGAAAGTTGAAGCTTCGTATCTGCTTTGGGTGGATCTCGTTCTTGGCATTTGCGGTGCTCATTCACCGAGAATAAAACAGTGACATAAACTTATTCTCAATAAAGACTTGCTTCATTCGTCCAAATATAAAGCTGATTGCAGGAACTTTGCGTGACCTCGATATTGACTCAAAACCGGGACAACTTTAACCGAACTTGGGTATTATACATTGCTAAGAATTCTTCTAGAGGTTAGGCGCTAGCAAATTATGAAGAATTTTTTTAATGGTGAAAATAAACATGCATTTTGAACTCGGAATATGCATCGTCAATTTATGCAAATAAAAGTATTATATAAAACAGTAAACACATTTTTTTTATACCAATGGCAGGCACGTGTGCTCATGCGCAGAAAGATGGTGAAAGCAGTGGTTCGCTTACAACAGACTTCTCTCTCCGCTATAAATATCATTCAGTGCAGAGCAAAAGAAATCTTTTTTATCGTCGGGAGGTTCATTAAGGGGCGTTGACGTAGCTTCGTCATCGTTTCGCAGCCGCGCTGAAACCTTCATACTGTCTTCTATTTGCTTCGTCACTACGGTAACCATTGCTTTGGGTTCACTGTGGCATAAAGCAATTGGATGTGCTTGGACATGAGCCACGTTGACATGAGCCCCGTTCTTGCTGAAAGTCAGTCATGAGCCCCGTTCTTGCTGAGAGTCAGGGGTGCATAGAAAAAGCAGTCAGGGCATGGAGGAAGGAAACAGCTTTCTTTCCTGCATGGGTTGAGGAGAGCGGCAACTAGAGGGTCGCGGAAGCAGTGTCGGTGTTTAACAGTAAGAATGTATAGGCACTTTGTTGATGTTTGATCAGTGGTCGAAATTGGTTTTCCGGGAAGTTGACAGACTGCCGACTCCTTTCACTGTAACCGATCAGCGGCGCTCGGAGACTTTTGTTGTAAGTGCGATTTCGTGCCATTGAACCAATGTATATTTTCACGGTCACGTGGATATTGTTCGTTTTAAGCCAAAGTTTGTTTTAAGTGGAGCCATTATATGTGGGCTCAACTGCATAACATACATCTGGTAAATGAGGCTTGTATGCGTGAGAAGTTAATTCATTGTGCTTTTATTTGGTGTATTACATAAAATATTAGGTGCAGTAGTTTCTTTTACAAAAAATATCTGGTGCAACCTAAGAAAAACAACTATTTTTCCTGCGGTAAGGAAAAAGTAACATTGTTTCACTTTTCTTATTTAGTATTGAAATTCATATGCAGCGAGATTTCGGTAGTTTGTGTCCATATGAGAATGATATGTTGCAAAAGGTTTCTTTTAGAATGCTAGCTGCTGTATATCACATAGATTAAAAAAAAAAACAAAAACATTGTATTGGTGGATGGGACATGTGAGTTGTCAAGCTTCTATTTTCATGCTGGTGGACTCCAGCACCATTATTCTGGTGATTAGCTGTGAAGCATATAACGAAGCGTCATTGCTGAATTTTCATGAGGTTTTTATTGCCTTGTAGGAAATTACACAAAAAAAAAGTTTACTGGATCACCTAATTGATGCTGTGCACATAATTGATGCTGTGCACATATTTCACCATCAGGAGACTTCAAATAATGTAATCATCTCAGCCTCCATATCCAAGTATTGAATTTCCGAAAAACTGGAATTCAGAAAGTACATTCATTATGCTGTCGTAGAGACAGCTCTGACAAAACTTTACAGTCAAGATTGTCACCAACTCTTTGATGCTGTATAAGATCCAAGTGATGTAATGTCTTGTCACCAGATACGAGCTGCTAATATTTTGTCAAGTTTTGCTAAGAAAATTGACATTTTATTACAATGCCAGCCTTTGTTCTTCATTCTTCTTATTTTTTTCTTTCAGAAAATTGTGAGGCATCATGGGCCAGTGACCAACTCAGTGACCAATCTAAGGAATCATCCCAACCAGATGAGATTCCGGTATGTGCCTTTCAGTGTCTGCATATAAGTTACTTCAGCTGAAACTTGGTTTAATAAAATTGCTACTATTTTTGAAATATTTCATTATTTATGTGGGTATAGCGCACCATGGCAAGGACACAAAGAGAGAGAGAGACACGCGCACATAGCTCTGTGTGTGTCTGTCTCTTTCTCTTTGTGTCCTTGTCGTGGTGCACTATATCCATATAAATGATGAACCCCAACCAACTAGCCCAGCAATGTGCCTTAGCGAATTTCATTAAAATTGAAAAATTGGTGCAATTGTGGAAGGGGTTTCTTAGTCCTTCAAACTGAAATGGTAACATGGCTACACCCCAAAGCAATCGTGGCATTTTATTTGCCACTAACACAAGCCTGCATGTGTGAAAAGTTCGTGAGGGCAGCCCTGACATGGAGCCTGCTATGTTCTTGGAAGAAGGTAAAACAGGCAGTCACGTGAAGTTATTACAAGCTGCTGGTATGCAAAGATGGGGTGTACAAATGTGATGGTTGTGTAAGCAGAACAAGAAAGTTATAAGTTGGGGATCAGTGCTAGAGCACTGCATGGGGCGATTTTTCTGGCCTGAGCCTGGCCCGGCCCGAAAACTTCAGGCTCCGGCCTGCCCAAGCCCGGTTTGGTGTTTTTAAATACGGCCCGTACCCAGCCCGGGCCCGGAAGTTTTAGGCCTGGCCCAACCCGTTTCTGCCAGTTCTGCATTGAACATATACGAGGCATTGTGCACTTTTTGGTTATTAAGAAGATACCTCCATCACGCAAGATATAGTCTAGTGAGTGCTTTGGAACTTGTTTTAGTGTCGTACACACTGGTATATTCTGTATATTTTTGGTTAATTACGCCCGTAACATTTTTGCACAATATTTACAGGGTAATATAAATTATTTTTGTAGTCATAGCTAGCTGTCTCGTGAAGGCAGTGCTAACCACACATTTTTGCGTTTAAAAGAACGCAACAAAATATTGTACCCCATGAAGTGGAAAAAATGGCAGACATTCATAGTTTTTTCTACATAAATTGCATGCGAACCATGTTTGCGGAGTAAAAGTAACACGTCTCCTACAAACCTCATTTATTACGCTATCCAAAAAAAAAGCACGCTCTAGCTACTTCTGGGAGGAATACGCCAGGCTGGGAAGCGTTACATAAATTGAAGCTGTCGTGTCAACTCCTCGACCGTCTTCAACGTATACGCGTTGATGGCGTGAAACTATGGCAGCGATTCATTAACGGATGTCATCTGTTCCAGGAACGCTGCTCATAGCTCGTTTGAAGAGTTGTGTGGCTCATAATTTTAGAGATTTTCACTAATAACTTCATGCATGCCGCCAGAATATCTGTTGCATATACTTGTGGACATCGCAATCTAATTTACTGTGCTTGGCGTCCTCCGAAGAACACGTGAACGGTGGATATTCATTCGTGGATATTCATTCAGAAGAGCTTTTTTGTAATGCCTTCCTGCAGCACATCCGTGTTTGTAATCGCTGTTTCGGTAAAAGTCCCCAAAAGACCCTGCTCTTTCGAACTCGATATTGCTACGGTCCGAATACAAAATTTTTGTGTGGTTTTTTTTAAATGTTATCTCAGAGAAAGCATGCGTCTTGGTTGGAGCTGCCTCAATTTGGTTTTAATATGTGCAGCTTTTAGTAGTGGGGCCATCGCTGGCAGGTCGGGTCAGGACCAGGCAGTAGTATTTCAGAGATAATTTTGAGCATCTGTATTGCTGTATCGAGATACTTTTCAAAAATATATTTATATCTCAGTAGTGAAATACTTTTACGATGTATCGCTTGTATCGCAATACTATCCAGGACACGGGTATCTCATTACATTTTTTCGGGAATGAGCGGAGACATGTTTACAATGGGAAAAAATGTTTTTTTCTGCTGTGACCTTCGCAGTTCGCGGCGATATATGCACCCACCATTTCTAGATTTCTGCTGAAGGCGAAACTGACTCCTACTTTCTTGAAAGCGAGCTAGTCGCTTTGCTACTGGCATCCCATTGTGCACATTCAGGCAGAACGGGAATGTGTTTGAATTATCACCTGCTTGAGCTTGCCAACGTTATACTGCCATATTGAATTCCAGAAGTCATATTTTCATTGTGAGGAGCGTTGTATACTGCACAATGAGCGCCAACCAACAGCATTGTATGAGCAGTGCTTTTTTTTCTCTCATTTTTTTTCCCTCTTTTTTTGGAGGTGCCTATTTGAATAATCGGAGCTTATCATAAAAGGCACAAACCATCCAAAGAATTTGGTGTGTGGTGCCATGTGCCATCAACGATATTTCTTTCTCCATAGCATTTCAGGAAGACGCCAATGTGGCCACACGGCTATTGGAAGAAGGTCTTTTTGCGTTTCTTTTTGCTTTTTTTATTTTGCTTGTTCTTTCTGATTTTTCTATATTTCTAGGAAACACTAAACCTTCAACTGGAAGTAAGCGCTCGTCTTCATTGTTTATTTGTACCCCTCCTGCTTGGCGCTAGGCCTCTTTAGCTAAACTGGAAACCAACTAGCCTGCACCGCTAGTCTACTAAGTGGAAGGTCGTTAAAGCAAGCGCTGCCATTACAGCAGCAGCAAATAAGTCGGGAGCCTTACTTTCTTTTTTTAGTCAGAGGCACATGTTGACCATGGTGAATAAAAGCATACCTTTTCTCAGTTCGTTTGTTTATGGTTCTAATGCTTCGATTGAACTATGCTACTTCTAGCATAGCTTACACTGTTGCCACCAAGTATACCGATTTTGGTGTACAATGCGTGTGACTCTTGCTCTTATACAGCATAGTTTTTTATTGCAACTGATATCTGTAAACATGTCGTTAATAACAATTAAGCTTCCATTGTAATGCCTTAATGGCACGCAGAGTATGGTGATAAAATAATGAATAAATTTATTTGCAAGTCTCAATGCGCTGCGCACTTTAAATTATTATGCTGCACATAACAAATGTCTGTACAGAGTATGACTATCCCCGACATAGAGAAAAGTATTTCAGTATCTGTATTGCTGTATCTGCATTCCAGAATACTTTTTTCGTCTTTTTGCAAAAGTATCTCTGAAATATCCCGTTACGTCAAAAACAAATGTATCTCGGTATCTGTATTTTAGGCATTCAAACCATGTATTTCGATATCTGTATTCCGGAATACTTTTTCAGGTATCTCTACCCAGCCCTGGCTCTGGTGTCAAAAGGCCCACTGTGAAGCAGCTAAGCCGTTTTACACGTGCGCCCTTTGCTTTCCAGGGTCAGTAGCGTACGGTAAAAAAAAAAGAAATTGAACATCACGACATCGCATTCATTGTCAAATTTTTTTCAGGGTTGGGGGTGGGGCAGGCTGCGTTGCTCGAAGGGTACAGTCGCTGATGCGCACTATATCTCGAGGCATAATGAGACTGCTCGTAAACTGTCTCTGCTACTAACCGCTGCTTTGCGTTTCGGATAACTGACAGCACGAAAACCAGTTCAGCAACTGGAGGGATCATTGTCCCTTTAGCCAGTGTTCTTTTGACTTATGCAATATCACGTGGGGTGGAGGTTCAAAAGGTACATATTGTTACCATCACATAAGCTTATAGCAATGAATGCGATACCACAAATTGTATTCTTATACCAAATAATAAGGCTTGACATCACCCTGAACATCACGACATCGCATTCATTGTCAAATTTTTTTCAGGGTTGGGGGTGGGGCAGGCTGCGTTGCTCGAAGGGTACAGTCGCTGATGCGCACTATATCTCGAGGCATAATGAGACTGCTCGTAAACTGTCTCTGCTACTAACCGCTGCTTTGCGTTTCGGATAACTGACAGCACGAAAACCAGTTCAGCAACTGGAGGGATCATTGTCCCTTTAGCCAGTGTTCTTTTGACTTATGCAATATCACGTGGGGTGGAGGTTCAAAAGGTACATATTGTTACCATCACATAAGCTTATAGCAATGAATGCGATACCACAAATTGTATTCTTATACCAAATAATAAGGCTTGACATCATTCGCGAAGTGCACTAGCGGCAGGGTTGCCATTTCGGAGGTCCGTGCACTCGCGGTACATGCAGAAAACTTTCTGCACGCACGGTGTTTGATATCCGTACAGCGACTTGGATGACTAGAGATTCACGAAACACCTCTTGCACGCTGACGCATGTAGACGTAGAATCAGAGTTGTCTGGAGCCCCCAGCTGGCTACTCTAGCTGCCTTACTTTTTTTGTTTTCATAAATATGATACATGGTCATACTGCGTGCTCAGTTCTTGTGCTATAATGTAAGCATCAACGGAAGCTTGTAGCTAACGTGAGATATAGGCCGCGGCCAACAACACTGTCGACAGGCACGCGTTCTACTGCTCTAGATAAGTGTGATTTTATGAACAGTGAATGGCACATACGAATGGACCTCCAAAATGGTGCAACTATGGCGTGGCTGCCTTGCGATGAAGGCTCAGTGCACACCGCTATATGGCCGCTCCAGAAAGTGAAACACCTTCGCCCAGTCAGTTTGCGTTGAGAGTACAAGGTAGAAGGGTATACCAGCTGTGTTAATTGCCTGCCGAAATAGCGAGTGCACCAGCGATCACACCCTTAAAATCAAAGTTTATATAAGAAGTCCCACTCCCCCCCTTTGCGGTACTAGTTCTTTCCTGCTCCTTGAAAATGGGCGGTGAATTCCTCTCTGCTTGAGCAACAATCGATAGCAGGCCTGACACGCGAGGGGATGTTATCGCATCCATCCTACGTGCGAAGGAGATGCGTGGGCTCTTTTATTTCTGCTTAGCCGCGTTCGTCGCGCCCGCTCGCGCGATTTTACCTGCGTGCAAAACACGATGTGCGGAAATATGTTATTACTTTAGACAGTACTCAAAACATGATGGTGACAGTCAGTGGCGTAGCCAGCCCCCCCCCCCCCCCCCCCCCCATTCCTCGAAATGTTTTTTGCTATGGTACATATTGCACAAAGTGACCATTTCCCTGCCT